ATATAAATGAGTATTCATTTTAAAAGAAGTTATTAGTAAAACTTTTAATGTGAAAACTGAGTAGGCCAATAATAATTGCTTTTATTTTTATATATATTCTTTTATTTCTTCTTTTTATTAATTTTAACTAAGATTTATTTGTACTAGTTAAATATTTCAATAAATAAATATTATGTACTTAAATTCATCATATTTTATGAAATTCATTTAATGAGTGCTTTTACATTTAATTATTTGTATGTTTTCTTTTATTGGATTGGGTAATTGATACTTATATATCCACGTGATTTTTATGCCTACCTAACAAAATTTGAATATATAAATATAAACTATAAAATAGTAAATTTAAAGCTTTTTCATATTTACGGTTTACTTTTTTAACTATTTGTTATTTGGCGAAATATTAAAGGTTAAAATTAATTTGTCATATAAAATATTGAAGCTGTTTTATTCTTAAATTGTAATTATTTATATCAGTACTATTAATAAAGTTTTGAAGCCAAGGATATATCTATTATATACGGAATTTATCTTTAATAATATCTATTATATATAGAATTTATCTTTAATTAGATTTATTATATACAGAATTTATAGAAAACTTATACTTAATTATATTTTTCATGTATATACAGATATTTTGAAATTATTAATAAAAACACTTCCATATATATTCCATATAATATGATTTAGATTTTGTGGCAAATTCCGTATTAATTCTAAATAACATTAGTGAATATTTTTTTCTAGGGTAATATGAAATTGCAAATAAATATTTGAGCCTTCAAAGATTTCTAATAGTAACTTCACTTTAGTAATATTTGGAAAATCCTGTATAAATTATCATTATTATCTTATTTTATAAATGGCGAAATATTAAAAATATAAATAAATGTAAAATATTGATCTCAATTTCAACTTAACATAATGTTGCTTTCCCACTTTATAACTTGGTTGCAACTATAATTTATTACTTTCTTTGAAGAAATGTCTGCATAGTTAAGTAAGTCATTATAAGTATTTACAGAGAAATTTATTCCAGAAACCCTAATGCTGAGTGTAGCTTTTAATTTTGTTCTCTTATAATTAAATGAATATTCTTCAACAGAAGTCTTAATTTTTTCAGCAAATTCAAAAGCTTGTTCAATGCTTGTATCTTTGAAGAGAATAACAAATTCATCTCTATCATATCGAGCAAAAATACATTCAAGTTGAATAAGACCTCGAAACAACTTAGCCACTTCTTTCAAAATGTAATCTCCTGTGTCATATTTATTTTTATATGAACATTAAAAAAAAAATTATATTTACAA